TGGCCCGGCCGTGAAAGCGAGTACCGCAGGCCCGGGCAGGGGGAGCGGGCACCTCGCACCACCGCGGGGCTCAGATGTGCCGAAATACTCGGTTGCCTTGGCTTGTCGGGGGTACGGGAAAACAAGACTCGCCCAAATACGTTTTTAGCTCGTTAACTAAAACCGGACCTTCGCTTCCCAAGATTTCACGCTATATGAACCTTTCATAAAAGGGATTAGATGGAATCGGGTGTGGGAAGAGACTGGGTATTACAGCAGTCAAAGTACATGTATATAAAAAGCGACAGACTTACTTCATTGCACGGCATAGGAAATGAATATTGATTAGTGGCCTGTAGTGTCACCTGTTGGCATAAAATGGTTTGTAACAAACATATAGAAAGTACTCAGGTAAGAGTTACTAAGTAATATTAGTGAGAAGCTTTTTGTATCCGTTGGTAAGAAAACTGTAAATAAATTTTAAATGTTTAATAACTTGTCTATGGACACTGTAATTCTTAAGCATTCCAGTATATTGAGTGTGTTTGGTGATATATTCATGTTAGTAGTCAGTCCTGTGAATGCATTCATTTTGCTGTATGTTCTTATTGTGCAATTAACCTTCATGATAGAGGGGATGAAAAAGTAAGAAAATGGGGAACAATGCTGGAAAAAGGATAATCAGTGGCATGTTGTTCAGTTTAAGCTCTGTTTATAATAATATAGGCTCTGCTATTGACTTTATTACTAATGTTAAACTTCTGACATAAAAGGGTAAAAGCTAAACAAGAACTTTTTAAAGATGCTGTGTATCTCCAGACCAGCATGTACACACTGACAGTTCTTGACAGATGTCTGAACTGGCTGAGAGGGTGCAGATTTGGAAGTAGAAACTGCAAAAGGCTGCCCTAAGAGGCTGGAGTTAAAATGTGAGCAGAAGTTCTTCGAGTTCTGTCTGTGAAGGTTAGAAGCAATCTCTTATCCCATCTCTCCACTCTGTAACGCTGGGTTTTAGTAATAAGCTTTGGCATTTATTCCAGTGCAAGCTTCTTGATGACAAAGGTGATAGTGTTTTAGTTGCTGATCCAATACTCAACTCTAGCTATGAAGGAATCAAAGAAGATTTAAAAGCAATTGGGATAAAGGGATACTGATTATAGAAGCATGGAGTTACTACTGATGGATCTACTGTAAGTATATATGTTCCCTAAGGAAGCTTTTAAAAACCATGGCTTGACCTACATTTTGTTTTTCGAAGAGATGTTTCTGGTAAATACTGCATGGCAGAGCACACGTTCATCAGTGAATGGTTTAAAACACAGACTTTCCTGCTGTTACAGTAAATTTTCATCAAATGCAACAGAACTTGCATCTCTTACTGTTCTAGTCCATGTCTATGTTTTAGAATTTGCTATTTTCTGCTGCCCAGTCCTGACCTGTCCAGAAAGTGAAGCTTCAATGGGTTTTAACATAAATAACTTTTCGGAGCTGTCTATATGTTTGAGAAAGTAGGTGCTCTTACTGTAATTTCCTGTAACTTTCTATTGTAAAATACCATGTTTTCCTGATACCTAGAAATGACTTGTTGTTAAAACACCTGCACTAAGAGCTTAGCTTCAATTAGACATGATATGGGCAGTGAAGGTCAAACAAATAAAGGAGAGGAAGGAGTGACTGTCGGTCACTCACTGGTTCTGTATGAAATGTTCTCAACTTGATTCTAGTTAACTTTTCATGACCTTTTCTTCATCCTTCTTGCGTATGTGACAGGTTAAGATAAGCTTTTTAGGAATTGCTGTGATGAGGATGGTAGAAGAGTTTCGGAGAATCATTTAGGGAGGCATTCTAAGCCTTGGCTTAACACAGGTGTTTGGAAGAGGGGAGAAAAACACACATTGCACTGGAATCACAAATGCAAAAGGAGATTGAGAGGTGTATGCAAGGCTGCATTGCACAGGCCCATGCAAGCCTGAGATGGTTTGGAGCCCATACAAGAAGGGGATACAGAGTTGATCCTCCTGATTTATCAGGCTGGCATCTAGACCCTTAATTCCTCATATGCATTCAGTTTTTAAATCTGTTTTTATCTTGTAGTAAATGTGGTCTCATGATCTAAGCGTTCACTCTTGATCTGTTTGGAAGTTAAAACTCTTAAGTAGAAAGAGGACTTAAGTTTGGTCTTACTCTGTGCATGGCAAGTTGGCCATCTGATCATAAGGAAGAAAGAAAGAAGGAATGCTGTTTAAAGGAATGCTGTAAACATAATGATCACTTCATAAATCTTTTGGACCAGTGATGGTCACAAGACCCAGTGTAACTTGCTCTCAAATTTTTCCTGTGAGGAATCCACTTGAAGTTGCAACCTGTGCTTACCGAAGGAACAGAGGAGGAAATAGAGCACAGCAGATACAAGGCACTGGTTATATACGGGTAACCTTGTTTGGCTCCCCAGGTACTAACAAAAAGACCGCTCCTAGGAATCTTAAATCTGAAAACAGATGAGCTGCTTAAATACAACTTTGTAACTCTTGGCTGTAGTTGTGGTGGCAACAGATCTCAGATTTGTAGAGCCCTCTAACTGGCTCAGGTGAAATGTGGTTCTGTGAAACAGCTAAGCCAATCTAATAGCTGTTAGTGCTCCCCTGCTTTCCTTGTGCCTGCTTATTGGCCACTTTGTGGAGTTGTTTGTCTTGCTAAAGGATGAGAAAATTAACTTGTTGAGGAAGAAGTGATTAATTTTGTAGTTGAATTGCCTTAATGGAGGAGCTGGCACAAGGAATGTGGAGAGCGGCACCACTCCATTTGGATTAGGTTATTTTTTAAACTGGTCTGTGTATCATCAAATGGTGCCTTAGTAGCAGGAGCTACTTATGCCTGAAGATCATGTTTGCACATAATGCTGGAGCAAGACCAGGGACCAAACTGACATGGGTATTAACTGACAGTGAACTACTGCAATGCAATTGCTCAGTTTTCCCTGAGATTTAAATAACAAAGCATCAAAGGGTAGTAATATCATAGTGGTAGTAGAGAATAAGAAACATGAGGTAAAAGACGAAACTTTACTTCCAGAGTCCTGCCTGAAGGCTTGATATCAAAGACACAATGCTCATTAAAATGTAAGGTGATTGTCTTGGAGTTTTTAGGGAAAATGGGACTACTTAAGATACTGAATTGCCTTCATGCCTTTAAGAGTTTCCTATTCAGCCAGGACAATATATTCATACAGGAAAATCTCCTTTAAGAACAGGATAACCTACTGAATGCCTCTGCTCTACTGACAATACCTACTAAATATATATACACACACGTATGCAGGTATTCTGTGCAAGTGCTTCTGGGTATCTGCTTCATGTTGACATGCAATCATATTTTTGCACTTGTCAGTTTGGTTACATATTCAATGCACTTGTCTTCTAATGCTTGCAATAAGAAGCTCTTTTCTTTTGTGGCTGTTCTTCCTCCTTCATTTTCTCACATAGTCCATTGATAGTACACAGTGGTTATCTCATGTGTTATCAATTTTGGGAGCTGATAACCTGTCCTTATAAGATCAGTGGTGGATTCACTGAACTCTTTACCTTCGAGCTGACTCAACACAATTACTATATCAATGTTCTGATACCTTCTGCAAACAATTTGTTAGGTACTTGGCTAAAGTTTTCTAGAAAGACACCTAAATGAATTTTGTTAATAATTGATTTACATGCAAAAGAGGTTTGTCTGTGAATTCCTGCTGACTGCTAATTGACGTGTGCTTGTTTGTGTGGTCAGCTGGCTGGATGTCAGGAGTGATTTAAATGTTTCTGCCTCATGTGATCTGAGGTATCTAGGAGTATCATGTGATATGTTGTTTGCTTTCTTGTTCCTAATTTTAAACACAAGACGTTTCTGTGGGGGTCTATCATTGCGTCTATGAGCTACTTTGAGACATTCTCCTTGGAGTACTGTGGTCAGAATTTAAAATTAATTTTCTAGAAAGCTTAGTTCATTTTAAAGGAAGGCTAATTTATAGAACCAAAAAGATGACAGTTCTTTGAGGAAATTATACCAGTTAAAAAGTTATGATAGTTGATACATATATATATTCAAAGGCATTTGTATTTCAGATAAAAGTAGTCAAAAAAGTACCAATTGATGGCCTCTTTGCCACACAAACAATAGTTCCCCCTCAGTTATTATGTAAGTGCTGTCTTTTCTTTTTTCTAAATGAAATTGAAAATACTCCTATTCATGGCTTTTGTTGAATGTTCTTTTTATTTCCTGAGTGGTATCAAGGCAAGTTACTTTCCAGGGTGCAATTTGCTTATTATTTTCTGCTTGAAACTATGAATCAGTCATTAAGACTTAGGGATAGTGACAGGCAGGGGTGTCAGTGTATCCTAAAGCTAGTTATTGTAGTTCCCAGACTTGGAGAAGGCTGTAACTTCTTTTAAACTCTCAAATCAAATTTGTAAATGTGCTTTTCACAAAGTTTAATCAAATAAGAACACATTCCAGATGGAGATCTACTAGTTTTGTCAGGGCAGTTGAGACAAAAAAAAAGAAAAACAAACAAGCAAACAACCAACCAAAACTCAAAAGACACTATAATATTGGAAGTGAATTGGGCTTATTGATGTATTAGAATAAGTCTTGTTGTGATTACCATCTTTGTGTGAAACTGACTGATCATCAAATCTGACAGAAACACTTTTTTCCGCTGAATATGAAACCTCATTATATATCCAAATGTCACAGTTCAGAAGTCAATACATGTATTGCACACTGCAAATGAAGGAAGCAAGAGTAGTGCGTGAGATCTTTTCTTGGACATCCAGTTTCAACTAGTGCTGAAGTATTTTGCAGAACTTCACTTGCCAGTTATTTTGTACATTTACGGGATCAGTCTGCAGGCTTTAAAAAGTAAAAACTTTCTATAACATTTCCAGGAAAAAGACTTAGAAACTGTATACAGATAGAGGTAGATGAGAGGATGAGGAGGAAAATTGCTTGGATTACTCTGCCTGCAGATGCTTTCTGTGTATGGTCTGAAAGCAAAGGGAAATGTGGTGTTCTACTGCTTTTAAATTCCATCACAGAAAATTCAGAAAGGTATGTGCTTATCCTACAGAATTAATCTTTAATAGGATCTTTTTTAACCTGCTACTTATCAAAAAGCCACTAAGTAGTTCTTCAGCCAAAATGTAAATCATTAACACATAAATTTTGTGGGGTGAGGACTGAAGATCTTGCATGTTTCTTTGCATTTCGTTCCCTATAGCTTCATTGTGAACTCTCTTCAGCTTGCAGAATATACTTAATATCTTAACCAAATTAAACTTGCAGTTAATCTTAGATCACTCCATTAGTGGGACTTTGTACAGTTTGCTACTTTCAGTACTGTTGTTGATAAATGTATCTTGATTATAATCTTAAACTTCTTCAGTTGTATGTCTTCCTACCCTGAGTGGGAGTGCTTATGGTTATTTGAGTGCTGTTTGGCAATCTCAGTTCCTAAAACTCTGATACTCCAGATGTTTGTTTGAGTTTTTGAAAGGTGTCTTTGCTGGAAGAACTTTATTTTTACCCAAGGAAATGAGATTCCAAGGTAGAACACAATGTCACTTTTCTACTTTGTTTTGCATTGAAACAGAAGACAAAATCAACCTGTTCTGTCCTTGGCAAGTCTGCTGCTGAAACTGGCCAGCCATGAATGATTGATATAAATAGAATTACATTCTCTTCCTTTTCTAATTAAGAGCACTGATACAGTGCAGGTACAAGACTGTGGAACAAGGTGTTGCCTTATAGTTCTATTAGCAATAACTAAATGGCATTTTGTGAGGTTACAAGACTGAACTTCAGTAAACTCTTTCTAGGCTGTGAGGCAATACTATAATCTCCCTTACTATGCTTTCCAGTATATCAGAGTCCTTGAAACATGACCTAAAATAAACTGTGGTCAGCTACTGGGTCTTTTAACGTTTCACTTAGGACTACAGAAACAACAACACTAAAAACCTAATGAGAAAGTAGGGGTAGTTAATAAAGAAATCCCGCGGTATATATTTTGCGGTGGGGCATAACCTTCAGTGGTTGAAGGCTGTAAGAGTGCGGTTGTCTGGGTCTATATTTAGTCTGAAGTTCTTTTTCAGTTCTGCGTTAAGTGTTTCTGTGATAACATATTTAGCTTTCCAGTTAAATTAGGTGTTTCATTAAAAGGCATTATCTCTTTCTCTAAACCATTGCTAAGTATCAGTCTTCTACAGAACTTAAACTGTTTTCATTAGATAATTTACTGAAATGGGAGGGAAAAGGAACTGTATGGGTAGGCCTGCATTAAAAAAACTTCAAAATTAAACATTGACAAGCAAATAGGATACAGTTATGCACACTCCAAAAAGGTGAGAGTGTGTAGAGCTGAAAAGGATGGGGCAACTCTTAAATGCCTAACTACTAAATTTTTCTAATAGAAAGAAACTTTCCAGTTACCGAAGTGTCTTTGTCCTTCTGGTTCTTGAAGGAAAAGTGATTAAACGTAAAAGAATGTAAGAAGTTTCTCTGGAAACTTGCTGCTGAAAACTTTAAGAGCATTTTTTAAGATTAGTTCTAATTTAGAAAGAATATTTCTGTCTCCATCTAGTGTTTAGAATAAATAAAGGAAAATCAAACTTCATCAAAGGAATACTGGCATTTAGTATATGCCTTAAGAACACCGCACTTCAGAGAAGGTGCAAATAGAAGACCCTTCCCTCCAAGTATTACTGATGCAATGTATCAAAGAAAAGTGAATATCAAAACTGTTGTTGCGTTCAAACCTGAATGTAAAAGATATAAAACTCTGTATTTGGGTTATTATGCTCGCCAACTAAATCTTGTGTAGCAAAATTGCAGTCAAAGGTGAAGTAGTGAAAATAAAAACCATAAATGGTGCTGAAGAAAAAATTATTTCAGAAAGATTGTTTGCACTTAAAAACACAGATAATTTTGATAATGTTGGAGACTGTCTGTTTTTCATACCTGTGGCCTAACATGACCTGTTCCTATGTAGTCTGTTTTTTGAAGTTAGAAACTGTTGATCCAGAATTATTCTACATGGTGGTTCCCCAGCTAATGATTTTTGAAAATCCAAATATTTTCAGTGGAAAATGCGTGTGCAGTACTTTGTTCTTATGTAATTTTTTTTATCTGGTTACAAAACTTAATGGTACCTCTGGATGCAGTGATAGTGCATAAGAGGGCTACAGAATTAAGACGTGTCTATTATAATGTAAAATGTTAAATACTTTAATTAAAGTGTCACCTTTTTATATCTTTCAGTTCCAGGGGACTTAGGTAATCAGTTGGAAGCGAAGTTAGATAAGCCATCAGTAGTGCACTATCTCTGCTCAAAGAAGACTGACAGTTATTTTACGCTCTGGCTGAATTTAGAGTTGCTTCTTCCTGTCATCATTGACTGCTGGATTGATAATATCAGGTAAGACCAGAAACGTTGCTCTTTGCAGTTATCTCCTTTCCTTAGGCTGACATACTTTGTACAGAATGGCCGCCTTAAACTTTCTCACTGGTTTGAATCAGAGTAGAGAAATTACTTGGAATTCTGCTAGGTAGAGTAACAGGATGAATCGGAGGATGTGGCTCTGCATCTGAAGTAGCTGTTCATCACTGATGAAAAGCAGAGGTTCTCTTAGTTTCTTCCACTTTCTCTCCTACCAGTTACGCAGCATTGGTTTGGGCACTTATCAGATGCTTCTGTAGGCTTACCTAAAGCAGAACACTTTCTGCACCTTTGGTTTAAGTTTTGATGAGGCCAGGGGGAAGGAAGTACATTGGGCAGCTCAGAGGGGACAGGCAGGTGGAATGTGAGCTTGCACTTTTGCCATTAGAGAGCAGTCTCATGAGCAGCTGAGACATGGGGTCCTTTAAGTGCAGTCTGCAAGTCTCTTTCCAGAATTATTTTGGTTTAAAAAATTGCCTCATTTAAAGCTTCCAGACTGTTTCACTGTTCAGTGTGCTTCATTAATGTTCCTGTAAAAATCAAAAATACCTCTATAAAAACAAGAAATACTTAGCTTGTGCAATTTAGAAATGCTGTATTGGCATGTTGTTCTTTTATGTGAATGTACCACGCTGTTGTGTAGTTGTGCCTCTGCTTTTAAGTCTTGCTATATGCCTTACAGGTTAGAGAGATTTTTGCGTGTGAAGATTTGAATATCAATTCAGATTATAAGACTCCATCTAGGGGTAAAAACTTGCATTCAGAAAGGGCAATTGTATTGATACGGTATTAAAACCAAACAAAAATCCAACAATAGTAATAAAAAACCCCACTCTGACTCGATGTTCCAAGTTCTTCATCTCAAATTGATAGGAAAAGTCTCTATAAAACACTTAATAGCTCTGTGTATTTCCTGAGGTACTAAGTGTTATTAGTCAAAAAATATCGAGTACTCCCTTAGGCTGGTATGGGTGTCCTAGTTCAACAGAAATGAATTATTTTTGTCTAGGAGAATTTTTCTGATACCTGATTTTACAGGTATTTTATCTTCTACTGCTGCATTCTTAAGTTCTTGACAAGTTTTCTCTGTGATGTGGCTTGATGCAAAGTGATACAGTAAAGAACTATATAAAGTAGCTTATATTCTAAAGTTGAAGTTCAGCCACAATTCTGTTTACTCAGTTTTATGGAGAAGCTAAGTCTCAGATTCTGCATGTAGAGCATTAAACTAATTAAAATAATAGTTTGTATTGTATAACCTCTTAGCCATTAGAGTACTCTTATCATGTTTGTGTGTTTGTGTTTTTTTTTTTTCTTCTGGGTAATAGCACTTAGAGTTCTTGTTACTGCACTTGGAGTGTAAGACCCAATGTAGTTGAGAGTTATCAGGTGGTAATATGACATTTCATGTTTTTCTCTCTTCTCCCCCCACCGCTCCCCCAGGCTTGTATATAATCGAACAAGTAAGATCACAGAACCACCAGATGGAGTGGATATCAGAGTCCCAGGTTTTGGGCAGACATTTTCCTTGGAATTTCTTGACCCGAGTAAAAGGAGCGTTGGTATGTACAAGCTGTGTCTGAAGTGCTTTGTCACATGTAGGATTTTTCTAGTGTGTCTTTATACAACAAGCTACTGAAATGCGATTTCAAATTACAGTTCTGTTTGGAAGCAGAAAAACGGATGTGTTGGTTTTTTTAGTAGGGTAGCACATGGCTCACTGCTTTTAAGTGTTTGTATTGTATTGTTTCGTCCGGTTTTTGGCCTGATAGATTGAGACAAAGATTCCATGTTATTTAGTCTTGTGCCAAATTTAAGTTCTTTGGATGAAACTGGAGTAGGCACTTTGAAGATAGACACTTTTGTGAGATGAGCTTTTGTGAGAAGTTGTTAGCTGTGGCTGAAGACTTGAGTAATTTAATAGTCAGTAAGGCAGTGAGCTTCGTGTGCTTCATAGCATGGATTTCTTTTCCTTTTCTGTAGGGAGCAGTTTCCAAAAGGGCAGTAATGTCCTTAATGACCTTCACTACCTGACTCATAACTAGAACAGAGCCATATTTAAAATTGCCTCTGTTCACTTCAGGGACTATATATTAAGTGATCAAGACTGAGTGAGGTTCTGCTCAAAACTTAAATGCGACTGTGATATTCAGTCATGACTGTGATGTTTTGACATTGAATTTTTCAAACTGTTACTAGATGCATTTACTTGTGGTAATGCTTATGTCCTACGTGTCAAAGCTTCTAATATATAACATCTTCTATTATGTAACATTAGCCATTCTGCAAATGTTTCCCTTGTTTGCTATTAAAACATTGTTTGGTCACTTACATCTTAGTCCACTACCTGATAGATGGAAAATAGTTTTGGGGTAGTGTCCAGAGTTTTGCCCTGGGGTACACTGTAAGTATTTGTTTCCAAGAATAAATGTGGGTGAAGTCCAGGCCAACCTTTATGAATGTGTTATAAACCCTACCTGAAGTTAATTTGCAATCAGCAAAAGCTAGGACTCTAATGTAGTGATTTCTGAGGTGTATTCTTTACAGTTCAAGGGTAAGACACGTTTCTGCTGAGGAAGACTTATCTGTTTAGTGCATACCATGTTTTCCTGCCACATTTGTTTGATAGATTAGCCAACTAGTAAAATGTTTTAATAATGGTATTCTCTCACTTTAGGGGGAACAGCAAGCATAACTCATTTTTTTAATGCTTTCTAGATTGTCAAAGACTAAGACTAGCTTTAATGTCTGTATATATGGTATCAGAGATAATGCCTCCAGAACTTCAGTTTGTTTTGTGATAGTGTCTGACAGCTGCTTCTAATGCTAATCTTTCTCACTCTTATCTGATGTCTACAGGCAGTTACTTTTATATGCTGGTGCAGAGTTTAGTAGACTGGGGCTACAAACGTGATGAAGATGTACGAGGAGCACCTTATGACTGGCGCAAGGCACCAAGTAAATAACATATTGTTACCTGAACAAAATTTTGACTCTCCCAGCCAGCAAATAATGTTCTGGGTCTCTTCTCCCATCCCACCTGTACAATTAAAATTAAATCCTTAATTTTGACTAGTTCTTAGGGCCTGGGTACCCCTGGACCCAGATGAAAGCTCTGTGGCGTGGTGTGTTCGTTTTTTTTGGGGTTTAAACAACTTGCTGCTTAAGACTTGCTTAAAACCAAAACAACAACAAACCAACACTGCCAAAACATATCCTCACAGAAACACCCACCCCTCCCACTTAATATCTGAATTTCTAAGCTCTGCATTAATTCCACAGACAATTTTTAAAAAAATAACCTTTTAAATAATTGTGTTGAAGTTAAGCATTCACAATTAACAATCATAACTGTGTATGTTTTCTTTAGATGAGAATGGAGACTATTTTGTGGCCCTTCGCAAGATGATAGAGTTAATGTACGAGCAGTATGGAAGTCCTGTTGTCTTAATTGCCCACAGTATGGGCAATATGTACACCCTCTACTTCCTCAACCATCAGACTCAGGATTGGAAAGACAAGTACATAAAGGATTATGTGTCATTAGGTGCTCCATGGGGAGGAGTGGCTAAAACTCTCCGTGTGCTGGCTTCAGGTAGGTAACTTGAGGATTTGCCATGTGTTTTCTTAGTGCAAGATACTAACTAGACTGTTAACTATAAGACTGGAGGATGCCAGTTTAAGGCACTATGAAGTTAATAATATTTTTTTCGCAAGTGATGGCAACTTAATGTTTCCAGGCTTATGACCTGACTGTCAATTCTTTATGTTCATACGAGTGGACTAAGTGGTTTTTTTATCTCTCTTAACCAGGAGCTGTGTCCCCTCTTGACCTCTCCTAACACTTTTTCAGCAGATTGTTGTGTCATCTGCTGTTTGGCCTGGTGTCTTCTATTTCTGTCACTTCTGCCTCCAGCCTGATTGCTCTCTGTTCAGTATTGCAAAGCTAACAAGGAATCCAGAGCGTTCAGTAGTTCCCTTTGATTAAAGATCATATAGCTGCTTGAGGTTAACATTAAGGGACACTTGCAGACGTGGTGGTGAAGTGGTGCCCACAGCACAAATACCTGTCAAAACTTATAACTCTACAGATAAGGAAAGTCAATCTTGGAGATTTTGGGTTTAGGACACTGCATGTGTCTGAGACTAAAAAAAAAATAATTAATGAAGAGGCATAACTTATTTCACTAAGTAACTGCAAATGACTGATGGAAAAAGTTCCTTACCACATCATGTGATATAATAATTATTTCACGTGCTTTGGCATTTAGTTTGTTATATTTCTGGCTTGGTTTTTTAGTTTGTTGCTGACTTGTTAGCTTTGGATATCACTAGCTTCCTAAACAAAGCCAACATCAGAAACTGGACTTCATCAAAATGCAGTACACACACCAAGTGCCAGCCATGCATAGACAGATCAAAGAATACTTTGCTTAGCAAAGGCATTTGATTCTGGAGTGCACAGCTCAGTTACTAATTAGAAAATTTAAATTGGATGTTTGTATTGAGTTATACATTGTTAAATCTATTGCAATGACACTGTGAAAATTGATTTCCCTTTTTCCACAGGCTTTGTCTGACAAGTTTGCATGCTACAGAAATGGCAGGGAGTGAGCAATGTTAATATCACCTTCATAAAATTCCACATGATCATATAAAATTCCACAGTCCTAGATTTCTGTTCATGTCAGTTTCACAGTTGTTATCAAACTGGTCAACAGTACACAGGTGGAATTATTTTCTCTAGATCTTCTGTGATACTTGGTGCAACGTATTCATGTGCTTTGCAGGATCAATGCTTGTATGATTATAATTCCAGTGCCAATAAAGTGAGAATGTTCTTCCCACTACAGTGAGCAAAGACACGAAGTTCACTGAGGTGGTTGGTTTGTTTGCTTTTTGTCAGCTTGAGATGCTAGCAGTGTCTTCCTTAGACCTAATGTTTTGTTCACTATAATGTCAGTGGTGTGCCTGCTGCCTTAAGCATGGTCTTGGCATACAGTACTTCTGTAGTTCAGAGAAAAGTAAAATATTTAATAAGTGTTTTGTAACAGTTCTGTAAGAGAAGGCTGGAATACAGTCAGGTTCTGTGTTTGATTATTCTACTGGAAATAAGTTTTGTACGCCTTCCTTTCATTGTTCAATTCAGAACTTGGGCTTGCTTTGCTGAAAACTGTCAAGTAGCATTCAGTAGCTTAGTGGTGAGTGTTCACCCTTAAGTGTTTATACCACACAGTAATATGAAACACATTTTTCAGGACTTTTGTGATTCTTGCTGTGTTCTTTTGAGTATTTTTATCTGTTTCAGAATTATACTAGCAATGTCTCCATATAGTACTCCTAAAGATGGCATTAAAGACTATGCTTTAGGTCTCCTTGCTGAAGCAATAGTGCCACCTTAAGGAACTGAAAATATATTTTGGTGCTATTCCAGGAATAGCGTTTTCTGTTTCAGTATTTCAATTTTATGGTGTGGTTGACCTGGATCACTACCTGTTGTAACCACCTGGACCTACTAATGGAAAATCTGATTCAAGGTTCAGCTGACAAGAGTTGAGGTGTGCCAGCCATTGCAATAACGGAAAACAGGTTGATCAGACAGTCACTGTGAAAATAACTTTGCCTCAAATTTCTTTTTTATTTATTAGAAAAAGCCTCATTTCTAGTAATCACGATACCTGCCATTTATTAAGCAGCTTTTAATTTTGCGGAAAACAATGCAAGAAGTTAAAATATGAATAAAGATGCATGTGAATTATAACTTAGTCATGTGTTAGTGTGAGCCATCTTTGGAACCAACTGCTAAGAAAACAAGGGACTTGATGTCTACAAAAAATTCTTGAAATGTTTTGGTCAAACACTAGTTCTGTTATAAGAGTAAGTCTAAATTTGGTAAAACGTAACAGTTTTGTAGTTTATTGGGTACTGGATAATTTAAGACCTGTATTGATAATAAGCTCTAGCTCTCTAGATTTGTATTATATTAAGAAAATGTAAATCCTTGGAAAAGCTTGGCCAGTTGAAAATGTTTCCAAAGTATAGTAGTTATTGACTGGTCTTTCAGGAATTGTTGGTTTTGTGTCCCTGTCGCCCCCCTTGCTTCCCTCCTGGCAAAGATATAGTTTAGGTTACCAGAGTTGCTAGAAAATATTTGTGCTACATGTGAGAAAACCTGGGTTCTGAGCAACGCAAGTATTTTAGCAGTCTTGAAATGCTGGCTGGAAGGGAAGATGCTGGTGTTGGTGATTTTCCATGACTCCCACTAGAAGCTAATAAGCTTTTAACTCTTCTTTTGCTGAAGTACTATGCATAGACCGAATTGGTCATTGAGAGCAGCATTCTTACTTGATATCATAAGCAGACACAGTAACGCTTGCTTTGCTTCTGTTTGTTTTTGACAAGTTTTTTTGGTAACTATTAATAGTCTACCATTTTCTTTCAATTGGAGGCATGTTCTGGTAGGTTTTGTTAGCACCAGGGAGTGCATAAACTGGTAAAACACTATGCCAAATCGTAAATAGACAATATAGTAATGAATTAAATACTGCTAATCTGCTTGTTTTGAATGTGCAAAACTTGAAACATTTTGTTAAGCCTATAAAGTCTCTTCATGAGCTCTTACATGTGTGTAAGGATAGTAGTATTTATCTGTTCTTTCAGCAAAAACATGATCTATGTACCAGAATTTCTGTAAAACACGCTTCCAGAGGAGCATTTAAGACAAAACTTGCAAATGGTATAAATGATGCCTAATAAAAGCTGTTTTCTTACTTGGCTAGTATAGGAAATACCTTCTCCTTTAAAAAGGAGCATATTGGAAAGGCACCAGTGTTCTTGGTTTGTCAGTTGTTCATTCATCAACTTGTATATAAATGTGTAAGTTATCAGAAGTTAGTTTCCAGAAGTTAATTATCAAGACAATCATAAATGAGGAAAAACTTCTCAAATTGTCACTGTGAGCAAAGGGAATAATCTTTTTATTCCTGTTATCACTGTGTAGTCATTGCTGCTGGCTGAGATTCATGTGTTGCTTTGCGTGTAATGAAATTCCACCTTTTTTTTTTAAGGTGACAACAATAGAATACCTGTTATCAGTTCTCTCAAGATTAGAGACCAGCAGAGATCGGCTGTTTCCACAAACTGGCTGCTCCCCTACAACTACACATGGCCTCCAGATAAAGTGTTTGTAAGCACACCTACAGCTAACTACACTCTTCGGGATTACCAAAAATTCTACAGGGACATCAGTTTTGAAGATGGCTGGCTCATGAGACAAGACACCGAGCCCCTAGTCTACCAGATGACCCCACCTGGTGTGCGTGTACACTGTCTTTACGGTACTGGCGTGGAAACACCCGATTCCTTCCATTACGAAAGTTTTCCTGACAAAGAACCCAAGATTCTTTACAGCGACGGGGATGGTACAGTAAACTTACAGAGTGCCTTGCAGTGTCAAAAGTGGGTGGACATGCAAAAACAGGAAGTGGTGATACTTGAGCTTTCAGGAAATGAGCATATTCAAATGCTATCCAATGATACTACTATCTCCTATGTGAAAAAGCTGCTTTTTGATTTGTGATACCTTGTGTTGACAGTTACTTTTCTCACCTGTGATGCCTTCCCTTAAATATGGGAAAATGCCTTTTAATCTCTTGATATTTAGATATTTGAATTATTTATTTTGTGGGTTTTTTTAAGGCTGTGTTCAAGAAGTTGTTTGGTGTCCTGAATGATTGTTTGTCTCTGATTCGTGTTTATGATGCTTCATGGTATTTTCACATTCTGCAAATTTGGTCAAGTATGCATTTTGGTGCCTCTGGTGGTGTGCCCAATATTCATACAGACTTTCATTTGGAGATTGTGCAGCCCCTTGCACATACTACATAGAATCACAGATACCTGAGTTCCTTCGTGTGGTCTTTGCAGGGTTTGGAGTGGGAGGGCTAGGAAGGATTGCAATTTCAGATGCCCATAAAAAAAGGGAATGACATTAAGAATTTGGGAAGCACAGTAAACTTTTTAAAGGGTCTTGCATATTCTCACCTACAGTTCCCAGTACCTTGGTTTGTAAATGTGCATATCTACTAGGTCAGATAGTACTAGGCAGACCTCTTCTCTGTACTACCTTTGTCATAATCCAGCCTTTCTTTTATTACAACTTTTGGGGGAAAAAGGATAGATGTGTGAATTACTTAAAGCTTCTTATTAGGTACCTTTTTGGGTTTTTTAAAAGAAATTGTTTGCTCATCAGCTGCTAGAACCTGATTACATACGATCTGGAGTCTGAGGAATCCTCACCTTGTGTTTATCATGTTTATCAATGAGGGAAAGAAGCTAGACAGTGGTTGGTGCTAGCAATAACTGTAGCTGTATGGAGTAGCGCATAAATTAAAGCTAACTGAATTGAATACTGGCAAACAACCCATACAGTGCAGAATTGCATTTCTGGTGAAAAATGATCTCCTATAGTGGAAATGATAACGGATGGTAAGCATTAATTCAACAATAAAAGTGAACTTCCTGAAATGGAGTGGGGAATGGAAGCCAGCATAATATAGTATGAAGTATAACCCTTTTTCTCAGTCAAATACTTAGGCTCTGATCCAGTTTCTGACCAAGTAGTCATTGGATCAACATTACATTCAGCTGAAAAGAAATGTAACATTTTAAAATCAAAATTCATTGCCCATTGATTACAATTTTCAATATTACTGCTTCAAAAAGTTGAGATACACTGTTTCTTATATGTTTCTATAAATTGCTGAACATGCAACACTTATTCCTACAGTATTGTTTTACTCTGTATTAAAAAAAACTTCAACTCTGAACTCCACAGAAATGATAGCCTAAAGGCCATCGTATTTACAGCCTTGATTACGTAAGTATTGTTGCAGAAACAGTTTCACTTGCCTGCTTTAAAACCAGTCACCCAGTTAGACTGCACTTAGTTTTCTGAAAACACAATTTTGAATGCTTTCAAAATGCTAGGTCCTCCAAGAAAAATGTTTTAAGACTTTCAGAAACTCATCAGAACTATTGAGGATTCATTGCTTAAGAAACTGAACTTGTCTAAAGGGTTAAGTTTTTAACTATTTCAATAGCATGCACAAAATGTTTGCTGCCATTAAAGATATCAAAGAGACGTGTTGAAATGACAGGCTTGAACTCTTGTTGCTGTAGAATGCAAACATTTTGGCATAGGAAGTAGGGTTTAATTCAGAAATGACTTATAAATCCAGAACAACTTGAGCTAGGGTCATGGATAAGCTAAATATCTTCCTAGGTTTTAACTTCCTTATGTAGCTTCAGTTTCACCCTGCATTTTCCCTATTACTTTTGTTGAGGGAGAGTGCATCTTTTCCTGATTTTAAAAATGGAATGTTTATCTTGTCCTCAGTTGCCCAGGAACCTACAGTTCAGCAGCAATGTTGCCTAGACTTTTCCAGAGTAAGTACTGAGTTGCCCCAAGCCATTTGTAATTGGTAACTGTTGAAATGAAAAAAAAAAAATACCACCCAGAAACTAACAACAACAACGAACCCCACAAAAAAGTCCTTCAGCCAAGTGTTCTATTTTATGCAGGGCTGTCAGCTGGATAAGCTTCAGGCTTGTGTTCCAAGACTGCTCAATGATGATAAAGCTCTTCCTATGGTCTGACTCAATTTTTGAATAAATTGCTACGTTACTGGTTTACAACAGAAAGAAATTAAAGAAAACTGCTTATCACATTCTGTCTTGATGAAGTAGGATGCCTGTTAAAAAGCACTGGAATGAGTGGAGCTGGAGGCAGGCTGTATGGCAGAATACCAACATGGATATCAAGGGCTGAAAAAATGAGAAAAGAACATAGGTAAACAGTTGTTAACCTGATATGGAGAATGTTCATTTAGAGGAGAGAAGCATCATTTAGATCCTTACCCATTAATTGGTGACATTTTCAATCTCATACCAGGAGTTTAGCTTCAGCGTTTTTTTTTGATTTGAAGTTCCAAAATACATGATTCCAGAAGATGCTCTATTATTCTTTTTCCTTTACTATTTTTATAACACTACTTTTTGTGCTCCCCTCAAATAAAACCCTCTCTCTTATTCTCTTCTAATTTTGGCAATCTAGTACTATGTTTGAGATCAGTTGACTGTATCTTTTAACCTACAGACTTGTAAATCACCTTTCCTTTAGTAGACAAGCCCTAGAGTGAGTCTCTTTAAACTTGTGTTAGTTAACCTGGTAAAATGAAGTTGAAAGTTTTTCAGGGCTTTTTTTTTTAAATGTTGTATGTCGCTATAAAGCCTTGTTGTGCAAGAATGTGCATGCCTGAGTTCTAAGTGCTGTGCTGGAGCAAGCACAGTGAGATTTTTTGAGTGGATGTGAAGGTTCTGCAGGCTATAGTTGAACCACTTAACTCAGCATGTTGAGAGGTGCTTACTCACTACAGCATGTTCCTCTACAAGGCAAAAGTATTTAGCATTACTGTTACAGGCCTGCTAGAGCCATCTGCACTCTAGATTCCTGAGGGGAGAGAGGTCTGAAGAAACAAATCTTTGAAAGGAGAAAGTGGCACTTCCTTAAGAGAAGTAACTCAGGTGCTTTGCCAGGCTGCACAGTTGAAATGTTTGAATTTACTGACATATCTTTGTTATACTTAACACATAGCGATCATGTCTCTCTCTTTTCATAATTTTTACTAGGTTTTATTCTTCCAGGATATTTTCAGAAACCAAAAATAGTCTTGAGGACCAAATGTGTTTATTATTTTTGACAAAATGTATGGAAAATGCTGAAGAAGCTTTCAGCTGTTGTAATACTTCTGAAGAGGTTCAGAGTCACTATGTGATTCTGTTTAAAACCAGAAGGCTTCAATAACTAGCAATAACTGCAAAGGACTTGCAGACCGAAGGAAGGAATGTTTGGTATTAAGGTAGTTCTTGGAGCACAGTGTGTTCAAGGCCCTCTTAAATTCAGGGAATGTTTGGCAATGACTTTGCTGCTTTACACTTAACAGTATTTTGTATGGAACATATTCTGAGACCTAGCATTTTATATGCTCTTTTTGTGTATGAATGCGGTCAATAGATTTTGAATATTTTATTGTCAAACTTTGATAATATAATAAAGTTGATCTAATACAGCTTGTGTCCTATGGTGAATAATGTCTTGTCTCACTGCTCAGATGGAATGTCAACTTGTTGCTGTTTTTCTTCCCCATGGATTCTTGGTGTATCATTTTCTCACAGTAATTGCTTCTTGGTTCATCTTCCAAATGTACCTACTGTCTTGTGGTACGTTTGGCATTCTCTGTTAATTGTTCTTGAATTTATGGAGATGTGGGACTAAGATTACTTGATTTCTTTTATTTGCTTCTCTCTTGCTCATCTCATATGAAGAAAAAAAAAAACCAACAAAAAACAAATGGTTCTTGGGATGCCTCATGCTTCTGTTCAGGTAATCATTTTGAAATCGGTCCCTCGATCCTGAAGTGTCCTGTATGTTTGCAGTTGCCTTTATACTGTTGGTTTCCAAACTGGTCCACAAACTCATGCATGTTGATGATACAGTTTCATGGTTGTATGAAACAATCTTTTTGCAATTAAAAATATCACATTGTGGCTCTGAAGAAACTTTAACAGTAGACAATGGTTCTGTAGGGCAAAAAACCCTGGAAATTATCTCCTTTATCAAAGTAATCCAAAAGCCTGGTGGGCAAGCAGAAGTCCTTGGGTAGCTAGCCTGGATGCTTCACTAACAGTACATATGATTGCTTATAACTCTTGAGAAAGAAAGAAAAATGATGAGGCTGAAACTTGCCTTATGGGAGGTTGTTTTTTTTCACATGATAAAGACTGTAACAGAAGATGAGTGTTTGACTGCTGTGCCTCTCTGTGCCCTAGATCCCTACTAATCGGACATCTTGTCCCAGTACAGTCCTTGTTCATACTTTCCTCAAGGTTCATTGACCCCATATGATTGCAGGAGAAGGGGGAACTTGGCCTTCCTCCAGCTCCCTATTAAAATGGGGAAAGTCCTGCACTGAAGCACTGTGCCAATTCTTGGAAGAAGCTGGGAAGGCTGAGAGCCCAGGGAATGGGGAGACAGAATGATAACAGGGCCTGGCTAGAGCAATGCCAAGCCATGTGAAGACTGGTGTCCTCTGCAGTGCTGGAATATTGATGTAACACTGGTGCTAGCTCAGGTTGTGCATCTTTCAAATAACAAAGTTATAGTTGCGTGCTGTCTGATGCTATTTTGCTGTGCTATCTTAAATGCTTACATTAAGGATGGGATTACAGTTTTGAGAAACTATGTCAACTTTCTCTTTTGCTTGAATTGCAGTTTTTCTCTGAAGTTCTAACTTAATAGTTTCCTTTGTTTTAAGACTAATTTACTTTGTGGTCACTCAGATCAACAAATGAGAATTAAGTGGAATGTTTAGTTCCTAAATCAGGATTCTTCAGGCAAAAGCAGAATGTAATATAAGCCTAGGAAATCAAAGAAATCCATATGCAATGTTTTACTCAAAATATTGATGTTAAGTTTGTCTATATTAATATTGCTTGCCAACATCTTGTTCTAAACCATGCAACATCTGAGCAGAATATCCTGATCCTGAACTCTTTTCCTTCTCATGTAACAGGTGATCACTAATTCTGTGTGAAATAGATTAATAAA